CTATAGTATCTCCTAAATACCCTAGTATCTTAAGATATTTAAGATATTCTAGTATCTCTTAGTATTATAGTATCTATCTTCTTAGTGAGATATTACCTCTTAGCGAGATACCAAGTCACGTGATCCTTGCCCCGCGATAATTATTACCTTCTAACGTGGACGTCTATAGGCCTTTAGCCATCCCATTATTTGTTAAGGAGAGAATTCTTCTTGTTACTTGTAACAATATATAGTTTAATTATAATAGATAATATAGAATTAATAGTTATAGTTACTATTAAATAAGTTTTTATAGATCTTAAAACTTTATTAATATAGAAGTGCCTTAAAAGGCTAGAGCTGAAAGGTGTTTATTATAGTACTACTATCTTATAGTATAGTACTATGCTAAATAGCTAGTCTTAGTAGAATAGGGTATTATATATAGTAATCTTAAGATTTATAATATCTAGTTACTTCTACCGTAGACGTATATAGGCTCCTTACCTTCTCGTCTCTTGTTAAGAGAAGAATCCTTCTTGTTGCTTGTAAGACCTAACTCTCTACGAGAAGTACTCTATTTAAAAGTTTATTGGCGCTAACAAGTGCTCTTTCGCACGCTATGTCTAGTTAAAGGGTAGGGTGACAGGGCCTGTAACCTGTTATTAGGATACATTCTAAAATCTGACGTGATGCACACCGGCCCGTCCCGTGCACGACCGTAATAAAGGCGTGTTCTTAATTATTGTGAGAATTAGCTTCTCTAGATCGCAGATTGGCCCTCCTCACACAGTGACGTAGCTGTAATCTTTAGCTGCCAAGTTATCTGTCGTATATGAGTAATTACTAGCGGAGAACGGAAGTTAGCGATGCCGGCTTCCGAGTGAACTAATGAGGGATTCTGCCACTAACAGCGTATAGACTACGGTACACCCTGGGGCTATACCGTAGATCGTAAAGTAGTTCACATTGACTATACACTGCCGTTAATAATACGTCCGAGCTAATTCGTCATTACTATACGAAGTGGGGGAGGAAAGCATTGGCGTGTGTGTTGTGCGTTTATGCAACAGACAGAACGAAAATATCGCAAGGCCAGAACCGCCTATGCACGGCCGCACCTGCCAATCACATGAGCTAGGAAGTAAATATCCGTGTCTCCGAGACAAGGACTTCTGTGTCAGCTGGGGCAGAGGTGGAGGTGAATGTACACGACACATAAGTATAAATCGAAGCAGAACGCAAGTCTCACCAACCTCAACACTCCATTTTCCCCACACCCCGTTATCTCAGACATTATCATGACAGTCCTATCGAAGTTTCCTTTTGATCTCGGCGCAATCCGACAAGAACACCTACTTCTTTGTCTTCCTACGATAGGTGCTATTGTAAGACGGAAACAAATCCCATGCATTTTAACGTGACTGAAAATTATAGATTGTTCTTCGAGTCGTCACAGGTGTCGTTTATAATCTTTTCCTTCACCCTTTGAAAAAATGTAAGTAATTGGGGATAGCGCCGTAGGAGATTTTGTACGCTAACTCAAAATTTAGTTCCCGGTCCGAAACTTGCTGCTGCGACCAACCTTTACTACTTTTACCGCGTGTTCCGTGGCGAGGAAGCTTCTTGGGTTACTGAATGCCATGAAAAGTATGGCGAGGTCGTCCGAACTGCCCCTGGAAAATTGAGTTATATCTCTCCGCAAGCATGGAAAGATATCACTGGTCATCGTACAGGAGCACGCCAAGAATTCCTGAAAGACACGAAGTTCTACAGCCCTGACCTAAACGGCGATTATAGTGTTGTGGCGGAACCAACGTCAGAAACGCACGGACAGGTACGCAGGGTATTCGCCAACGCATTCAGCGATAGGGCTTTAAGACTCCAAGAACCTCTTATCTATCACCATGTCAATAAACTCAACAAAATCCTTGACAAGACTATAGCTGCAGACCCAGAGACTCACATTGATCTTGTGAGGATGTACAATTGTACAACTTTTGACATTATGGGAGATCTTACCTTTGGCGAGCCATTGGGTATGTTGGATACGGGCAAGTATACGCAATGGGTCAGGGCAGTATTTGAGAGTATCAAAGTTCTCAACATGTTCCGCCTGGCAAAACAGTACCCTTCAGCAGGGTTCTTGTTAAAAACGTTTATGCCTCCATCCCTACGTGGTAAAGAGGTGGAACATTTCCAGCACTCCATCGAACGAGTGGACAAGAGACTTGCGAAAGGGACCGATATTGGCAAATCTGATATCTGGAAGCTTGTTCTGGAGAATCAGAAAGTTCAATTGCCTCTCTCAAAGATGCATGCCAACGCATCAGCCTTCATGGTGGCTGGCACCGAAACAACAGCGACATTGCTAAGCGGAATGACCTACTTGCTTCTTACAAATCCCGAAAAGTTAAAGAAAGTCGTCGAAGAAGTGCGCGCCCTGTCTAAAGAAGACCTATCGCTCGAGGTATTGCCACGCCTGCCATACCTCAGTGCATGCTTTCAGGAAACATTTCGGTGTTATCCACCAGTGGCAATCGGCACACCTCGGGAAGTGCCACAAGGGGGTGCTGTGATCTGTGGCGAATGGGTGCCAGAGAAGGTGAAGACTCATCCAATGTGTACACATTTATTTCTCTGGAAAAGCTAACAATTTCGTACTATATAGACAAGCGTTGCTATAGCCCAAAAAGCTGCATATTCCTCTGCTCTAAATTTCAAAGATCCACAAGACTTTGTTCCTGAGCGCTGGCTGCCTGGTAGCGGATACAATACAGACAGGAAAGACGTGTTACAGCCTTTTTCTTTTGGGCCACGTAACTGTATTGGAAAGAAGTACGTATTAAATTCCCACAAGAATGAGTTAGCATTAACAAATTGTCATAGCCTAGCATATCACGAGATGCGTGTCATTGGTGCTATGATACTCTGGAATTATGATCTTGAACTATGCCCGGAGAGCAAAAGTTGGATGGACCAGAAGGTGTACACTTTGTGGGAAAAACCGGAGCTCATGGTCAAGCTCAGACCTGTTCAGAGATCATGATCCACTACTTCATGCTTCAAAGCTAAAGATTAGAATGGAGCATTTTTTAAGTAGTTGTGGATCTTGTGCGCTTAGTCTTAATAGTGAACAGAATGCATTTTTTTTCTTAGTCCGATACTCTTATAATGACTTGGATAGGCAACTGCGTCGGAAAGTGCTCAGATTCCATGATCAGCATCAAATCCACCGACGATATGAACAGAATGGAAACTACGTTTCACTAGAAAACAAGATACCGCTAATGCATCACCCTTCGAGTGTTAGACAGTTTCCTATTCTTTCCTATAAAGCTTCATAACGCTAGTCTTTTCCTTTTGCACAACCTTTTACTCACTACAGCATAATATTATGGATTCTATGGCCCACGTTTTCCAGCGTTAAATGGATGATACCATCGGCCTACCAGTGTCACTTGCTAGCAGGAAAGGTAGCCCTGTCACATATATGCAAAGAAGTCTTTCCCTCATTCGAATCGATATGGTGATAATGGCAAAACCTGTTTTTCGACTACTGTTAGGTTTCGTGACCGAGAAGAGACATCCGCTAGTGGCTATAAGAGCTGGTGGCTAGTTAATTATGAACATAGCTGATTGGCTGTAAGGATGATGGCATGAAATCGTTCTTTAGTAGCGTAATTGGGGGGCAGCCACTCAGATGCAAGAGGAATCCACATTCCTCAAAAGACATTCAACTTCGTCTGACGACATCTCCCCCGCACCTTCTGCCCTCCTCCGACATGCGTTATACAAATCTTCATCTTCCATGGAATCCACCAACAGGATAAACGAGGTTGATCTTCCTATTTCCGTTGTTGAGGGGAGCCTGGCCGTGGTATGCCTGAAAGGGACCTAGCGTCCCCAAAGATCGACATCCGAGATCGTTTCAAGGGTTCACGCGGAACGCAATAATTCGCTCTCGTGACGAGAATGTGGAATCCAATGTCGTTTAAAGGCATGGTTTCCGGGTCCTTTGCATTAATTACGACAATCTACAGCTTAAGTCCGAGGCTGTAATGATCTAGGTAGGAAGATAGCCAAGCGTATTGAGTAGCCAAGCCATGGCAGCATGGGTTAATGATGAGACGTTCTTCGCAGTGCGCATCAGATAGTTAATTTACTTTCTTATCGTTGTCGCTATATAAGTGCGTAATTCTTTTCACTGTCAGAAAAATCTTACGGCTATTTATCTCAGGCCATGCGCACGGTCCAGTCCGAGTTGCGGAACGTAGTTCGACCCATCATAATATAGTATGTATATAGCACAAGTTTTATATATAGGCTACTAGTTATATAGTGTCTTAAACTAAAGTAATTTTAGAAAAAATAAAAACTCTAATAAATACTTAGTATAGCTATCTTTAGATTCTATCATAGCTTAGTGCCTACCTCTTACCTTATCTACTAGTGATTAAATATATTTTAAGGTAATATTATGCTGAGTATTTAGCACTTTTTAGCTTAGCTTATAATATAATTCTTAATACCTATTTAAAATATCTTGATAGTATTTATTATAGCTAAGGTTACACCTATATTATTTTAGCTAGAAGAAGAATAGAAAAATAACATAGGTATAATAAATAGACTATAGAACCTTAACCTCTTCTATAACATACATTATATAATAACCTTATTACGACCAGCCTTAAAATATAGAGAATATTTCGCCGTTAGATTTATTTTTTAAGTAATTTATAAGTAGGTAATAAGACTATAAAATAATATATACTCTTTAGAAATAGTTATTATATAACTACTTAATAATAAGCGCTTACTAGTAAGTATACGCTTAGTACTATAATACTTACGAATAAGTATAATACTTATTTAGTATATAGTATTAGATATTAAGCTCTCATAGCTTAATATATTTAACTTTAGTTCTAAGTATAAGTAGAATATATAAAGTTATTCTACTTACTTAAGTTACTATTCTATTATATACTATTATCTATTTATAAAAACTAACTAATAATAAGCTTAATACTATAAGTCTTATATTACTTCTACTTAAGCTATACTCTTAATCTATTAAATACTCTTCTAATTAGTAGTAATATTATAATAAATACTCTAACTACTTCTTATACTAAAGAAACTATAATTAATACCTATAAGTCTAACCTTTACTATAGTAATTATAATAAGCTTAAAGCTTAGCTTCTCTACATTAACTATTATGTTATAAGTAATAGTAGGAAGGATCCTCTCTCTAGGTCTAATAAAGAGTAGTTAGGAAGCTACTTAGGATTCTAATAAATAGAATAACTATCGCGGGGCTTAGAGTTAAATGATATACTATCCTACTAAGACTGAATATCTTACTAAGAATAGGATAGTAGAGAGTTCTAGAATAATATACTTGTCAGACTGTGAGGGGTTTTCTGATTAAGGACACGTTTGGATCACTGTGATAAAAGACTGTGATAATTGATGGAAGTAATTGATTGTATTGATTGTTCTTGTGCTCGTCGTCCTCCAGCGGCGCGTAGGCGCGTCGCCTTATGAGC